TACGTTCCCATAATTTTTACATTACAGTTACTACACTGTAAGATGTCTCTCCAGTTGAAATTTCACCACAGAAAAGGTAGCATGGTGCCATTCTCTTCCCCTACTCATTTCAGGGAGGGAGAGGGAGGAAAAGGGAGACAGAGAACCTCCCAGAACGACCTCCAGAAGTAAGTGTGGTCGTTCTACCATTTTTTAAGATTTACTTACTTCTATTCACATCAGAGACAGCACACCCCTCACGGGTTCACTCCCTAGACACCCGCCAAAGCACGGACTGTGCCTCCCAAGTGGGCGGCAAGCCAACTACTTCAGCCATCACTGCCGCCTCCCCAGGTCAGAGCCGGGAGTGGAACAGGGTTTCAACCAAGACCCTTCAGTGTGTGATGAGTCACTGTGCCAAAAGCTCCTCCCCATCTGGCAGTCATTTTTAAATATTGAGTATGGAAACACTATTTACATAAACTGTTGTATTCTAGCAATCAGCTGCAGCCCTCAAGTGTGCCACCACCTTAAGCAGTCGCTTGCCAAGCATGTCAGGCAGGGAGAGCTCCACTGCCACCTGCGAGTAGCAGGTCCATGCCCAGCACTGACCCTCACAGAGTCTGTTTCTCCATCACCCCAGGATTCATAGCAGTTGTTCTGGGACTAACTCTCCTCCACAATGAGGTTGCTGAAACAAAAATTAAATTTCCCCATAAAATAAGCACAGTAGGCAATTAAAAATCCATTCTTAAACGTAAATCTCATTTAACTTGTGCTAACTGAATGGAATTTACAACATAATTCCTGTACAATTAAAGGATCTTCTACCATACTCCTAATAGGGGTGGAAAGAATGGTAGCCACCCAGCCATATTCTTCATACAATCAGTGTCTTCACAAATGGAAATTCACCCCCCAGTGTGCACACTAAAAATCTGTATAAATCACTGTAATGGGAGCCCTACTTAGTGGAATGGAAACTTGATCCCCCACCTGCATTCCATATGGTTGAGATTCCAGCTGCTGCACTTCAGACTTAGTGACCACCTGGGGAAGCACAGAGGATGGCTTAAATCCTTGGGCCCCTGCGCCTAGGTGGGAGACCTGCAAGAAGCTTTGGCTCCTAGCTTCAGACTGGCCCAGCTCCAGGAGGCCATCGCAGGCATCTGGGGAGTGAACTAGGAGGGAAGATCTATCTCTTCTTTCTGTATTATCCTGCCTTTAAATAAAAATAAATTTCTAAAAATTATCTCTAAGGCCCAGCACAAGAGCCCACTGGCTAAATCCTTGCCTTGCAACCACTGGGGTCCCACATAGGCGCCAGTTCATATCCCAGCTCCTCCACTTCCCATCCAGTTCCCTGCTTGTGGCCTGGGAAAGCAGTCAAGGACGGAACCCTGCAACCGCGTGGGAGACCCTGAAGAAACTCCTAGCTCCTGGCTTCGGATCGGCTCAGCTCTGGCCGTTACAGCCACCAGGGGAGTGAACGAGTAAGTAGAAAATCTTTTTTCCCTCTGTATATCTTGTCTTTCCAATGGAAAAATAAAGTTAATCTTTAAAAAATACATATAAATATATTTTATTTATTCATATACTTATATATAACTATGTGTATATATAACTACATGTGTGTATATATAACTACATGTGTTATATGCACATATGTATATATATGTGGAATATTCCTGTTTTCAAATCAATATTCTTTAATTAAAAATCAGAAGTGAAGGAAAGCCCAGTCTTGAAAAACTTAAGAATTAGCAACCCATAAAGTTATTTCCTATTTTCAATATGTCATAAAAAAACCTGACAAATATTTGTAATTATTCTTAGAGCTAAGTTTTGATGCTTTATGAGCAAACATAACTTTCTAAGAATACAATGCTACAAGTTCTCAGACCCAACCCAAAGAAAAATGTCAAATTCAAGGTCCCAGCGCAATGGCTCAACAGGCTAATCCTCCCCTTGTAAACCCTGAAATCTCAAAGGGATGCCAATTTGTATCCTGGCTGCTCCACTTCCCACCCAGCTCCCTGCTTATGGCCTAGGAAAAATGTAGAGAGTGGCTCAAAGCCTTGGGACCCTGCACCCACTTGCAAGACCCAGAAGAAGCTCCTGGCTTTGCATCAGCTCAGCTCTGGCTGCTATGGCTATTTGAGGAGTGAACCCTCAGACGGAAGATCTGTCTCCCTTTCTCTCTATAAATCCGCCTTTCAAATAAAAACAAATAAATCTTTTAAAAAAGTCAAATTCATTCTAAGTACTCTAAAAACATCCTTTTAGGGGCCAGTGCAATTGTATGCTAATCCTGCATCTGCAGTGCCAACATCTCATTTGGGTGCCAGTTCAGCTCCCAGTGGCTCCTCTTCCTATCTAGATCCCTGCTTATGGCTTGGGGAACAGGAAAAAGGCCCGAGTCCTTGGGCCCCTGAGTTTTGTGGGAGACCCAGAGGAAGCTCGCGGCTTCTTGTAAGCGCAGCCAGCAGTTGTGGCTCTGTGGGGATTGCACCAGCACATGGAAGACCTGTCTCTCCCCTCAGAAAATCTGCCTTTCAAACAAAAGTCTTTAAAAATTTTTTTCTCCTTCGATTCTTTTTTGTACTCCCCTTCACATAATTTAATCGAAAATAATTACTGAACTACTTTCTAGCACACACCCACCTGCAATAAACATGACTCGAAGCATCATTCACTGAAAATACTATCAAAACTTTCCTAAGATGATGTCATCTGTTTTCTGAATCTTCAGACACACGTCCTGTCCTCAACTCTTGACCCAGTTCTACTTTCCAAGCATGGTGAAACGGAAGCCCAGTAGTGACGCTCAAATACTTCTGAGTTCTCTGAGATTCACTTAGGAGGGATGAGCAACACAGGTGCACAAAGAGAATGCCAGAAAGCTCAAGTGCCCACAGAGCAAGAGGGAAAAGCCTGGCACTCACGCACGCGCAGTGCCCTGGATCTTTCATCAATGCTCAAATGATCAACGGTCCCTTGCTTCTCTCCTCACTCAGCTGAGCCAACTACACCGCACCAGCCACCTGTTAACATCTTCCCTTTAAAGGGTATGGGCACAGTGAGGGGGCCTCAGGATACACAGCAGAACTCTACTAGACAGATCCATCAAGATGAGGGAGTTTTAAAACCCACTTAACTGCATTGAAAACAAGCAAGCTATTTTCCGATTTAAGAAAAAACAAAGTAAAGGCCTGCAACTGTAGCACGGCAGGTTAAGCTGCCACCAGGGACGAGCCTCAGGACTCTGCAAATGTGCCTGGGACAACAGCAGTAGCTGGCCCAAGTGCCTGACCCCGCCCCCCATCCACATGGGACTGAATAAACCTCCAGGCTAATCCGGGTAGCCCGGCCAACCTGGCAGCTTCAGGAGTGAACCAACGGATCAAAGAGCCGCCTCCGCCCTCCCTGATCTACTGTCATCCAAAGAAAATTAAAACAACCTCCACCAAGAGACTTGCTTTAACGTGAGTGCACAGCACTGCGAGCGGCAGAGCTGCAGCTGTGGTGCTAACAATAAATCGACCCTACTGAACATTCTACACTGCGTGCCTTGGCAAACGCTGCATAGAGCACTGAGTGGCAGAATCAAATCCTATACACGGAAATCACCCGCCCCAAGTTATCAACTAGATTCATAAAATTAAAAGTGTTCCAATATGTTGCTCTGAATTATTTACTATGAAGTGTGTGAAATAAATAATAAACAAACTCCAGTCCAAACAAGAAAAGGTTTCCCCACCCACAATCACATCCCAGGTGGCCACTAGCTGTGCTAACATACTGTATCTTTCACCTCTTTGCTAAACTTCTCAAATCCTAATCCTCAGACTAAAAAACATCTATTTTAACGAAAGCTGGTGTCTAAAAGTACTAAACGCATCAATCTGGTATTTAGTAAGTGAATTATTTACGATACTGACGATTATGCTACTGGAGATTATATGTACAGTGTTTCCATTTCGAAGTTAGCATTTCCCAAACTGACACCTAGTTACTCTCAAATTTAAGTATTGTAAGGCTCATGCAAATAGAATTAAGGCCGCTAGTGCAAAACGCACTTGCTAGTTAATGCCTACGTTTAGGCCCACAGAAAGTCGGGAGTTTTTCAGTGTAAACTGTGCAAATTGCACACCTGCTTAAAAAAAAACAAAAAAACTCTCGAGTTCGAGTGGATGGTTGGATGACCGTGCGGGCTGCTGTGGGCAGCACCTGCCGTCCGCAGGCACCCTACCCTACCCTACCCTACCCTACCCTACCCTACCCTACCCTAACCTCCGCTCCTCTCCTCTCCTCTCCGGTCGCGATGGGGGGAGTCCACAGAGCGAAAACCACAGAACATCCCCGCCTGTCCAATTAGCTCAAGTCCCTGGCTGGGCCGGCTACCCTCACCAACACAAACTACAAACACCACGAGGAGTGGGGACCGCAGAGCAGCACCGCCGGCGAGCGCCTCCAGAGACCCGGGCCGACCTGCGGGGCGATGCGTCCCGCACCCCCAGCCTCCTAAGCCGGGCGAAGGGTGCAGGTCGCTGCTGCCCCGGAGGAGTGCGGGGCGAGGGATGCAGGTCGCTTCCGCCTTGGCGGGGTGCGGGGCGAGGGATGCAGGTCGCTCGCGCCCCGGAGTGCGGGGAGAGGGGTGCAGGCCGCTCCCGCCTCGGTGGAGCGCGGGGCGAGGGGTGCAGGTCGCTCCCGCTCCGGCGGGGTGCGGGGCTAGGGGTGCTAGTCGCTCCCGCTCCGGAGGGGTGCGGGGCGAGGGGCGAGGGGTGCAGGTCGCTCTTGCCTCGGCGGGGTGCGGCGTGCGAGGGGTGCAGGCCGCTCCCGCCCGGCCCGGGGCTGCGGGGCTGGCCGCGCGGGGCCCCCTGCCGCAGTCCGCCGGGCCCGGGGGAGGGGCGCCCCGGGAGCCGCGCCCCTCCCCCCGCGGCCCCACCCCGGGGAGCCCTCGGGGCCCGCGCCCACCCTCCGCGCGCGGGGCCGGCCCGGGGTGACCCGGCGATACCAACCTCGCTATTGAAGGTCTTGACGGCCTCCATGTTGTCGCTGCGGAGGCCCCGGGGCCCGGCGGCGGAAGAGGCGGCGGCCGCGGCGCCCGGGGAGCCGAGAGCGGGGAGCCCGAGCGGGGCGCCGGCGCGGGAGCGGCCACCCCCCGGGGCGGCGGCGGCGGGAGGGCAGGCTCGGGTCGGGAAGGGCTCCCTCAGGGCCGGCGGAGCCCCGGCATGGCCGCCGGGGCGGGCGGAGCGCCGGGGTCGGCCACAGAGGCGCAGCCGGGGCGGGCCGGCGGGGGAGGGGCTGGGCCGCGGCGCCTGGGCTTCTCCGCCCCGCTCGCTCTCGCTTCCGCCGCTCCCGGGCCCCTACACGCCGCAGTCCCTCCTCGCTTTTCCTCCGACAGGCTCCGCTCTCGCCGCCCGCGCCGCAGGAACCGGTAGCGCACGGCCCAGACACAGGAGGAAGCGCCGGCAGCAGCGGCGGCTGCGGCATCCAATATGGCGGCCCCGAGTCGGGCCGCGCAGCTAGGAGCTCGGCGGCGCCCGACAGCGCGCCCCCTGGCGGCGGGACCGCGCGGGCCGCGGCGGCGGCGCACGCACCATCGAGCCTGCGCGGGCCAGAGCGTCGCCGCCCGGAGGTCCGCGCGCGGCTCGGCGGGGCCGGGCTGCGGGGCTGCGGGCGCCTGCACCCTCGTCCCCCGCGCGCCCCTGCCGAGGCGGGAGCGGCCCCTGGGGCGAAGGGTGCCTCCGCCGCCGGGGCTGGGAGAAAGCCGTGCACGTGCACATGAAGGCATTTCCGTTCCCCACCACACTGCATTGGTGTCCGCGAGCAGGGGAGTCGGGGAGGGGGGCTTGGGTTGCTTTGGAAAACTTTTTTGTTGTTGTTGTTTTTTAACAGGACAGTGGCATGTTGGCTGGCAGCCAAAGAAAAGTTGCTAGTCGTCCACCTGTTCAGCAACACTGTATCCCAATGTTTGGCGCGGGTGCGGGGGAGAGCCTTCTGGGAGCCGGCTGCGCGCAGCCCGCTGCCCGTACGCATGGACACTGGGGGTCCCGGCACGTGCACTGGCACAAGGGGAACCCGAGGGTTAGGCAGCTTGGATTCTCCTGCAAGAATTCTGCCCTGGATTGTTTGTAGAGAGCAAAATGCGCTGTTTTGCAGATGGAATCAGGGTTTGCTGCCTGCAAGCTGCTTGCTCGTGTTACCTGCAATGTAGAGCGACACCAGTTTTAAGAGCCAGCATTTCTTGACATTAAAAGTTAAGAGTGCTTCATTGCACTGCGAACACGGCAGGCCACTTGGTCAAAGTCATCCTTCCAGCAAACAAAACCGAGTTCACAGGGTGAAAACAAAAGTGCTGGCGGAATTCAACGTTGGAGGGTTGTTGGCATCCTGGCAACTGGCTGAGAGCAGCCGCAGAACCCAGTGGAGAGCCTTGCTGGTTGTCCTGTATCACGGAGAGATTGCGGACACAGGTAAAAGCTTTGCTTTTAAAGGTGGGAATCCCACACACTGCAACAACGTTGCACCTGACCCTGCAGCTGCCTGCTAACCCTCGGCTTGCTTCTGCTCCCATCTTTGCCTAGACAACAGTAGAAGGGTTGCTGGGTTTACCATTGCAAAACTAATGCTTAACATTGCACTTACGCCTTGGGCTGAAACCAGCCTCCCCTCACTCGGGTCACTGCCTCCGCACAGACTTTTCTGTCCATTTTCAGAGGACTGCGCAGCTCGGTGGGACGGGCCTCTCCTGTGAGGGTTCTCCCAGTCATTCCCCACGTCCTCATAAGGGACATCGCACACTCAGTTGGGTCTGCACCAAGTTTTCACATTTGGAGCACAACACTGGCCTATTAGGGATCATGTATCCCGCCGTAGTTGGGATGAATGCTGACAGAGTTACTGGGAGCTGATAGACAAAAGTGCAACACGAGCCAAAAGCTGTTATGACTTAATAAAGTTTCCACGGCCAGAGCTCACGCCCTCAACAAGGCAGTAACCCCTCTTAAAGGCACCCATCAACAGTTACACTAGGGACAGAGCCCCAGCCACACCTCTTAGAATGCAAGATTCTCTTTCAAGGGGTCAGAATTCCCCTGTGTACTGTTCAAGATGAAAATCTTCATATCAAGGTAACTAATTGTCCAGAGATAACTTTGGATGACTTAGTAATAGAAAGGGAACTTTGTGTGTTGTTGTTTTAACCAGCTGTGTGGGACAGTTGGGCTTGAATTGCGTCTCTCTAAATTCACCTCTTGGATCCTAACTCCCGGACCTCAGATACTGCACCTGCATTTGGACACAGTCCCTGTAAACAAAGGGGTGACTAAGTTAAAATGAGACCCAGGGGAACACAACATGAAGACACAGGGAAAAGGTTGCATTTACAAGCCAAGAAAAGAGGCCTGCAAAGCAACCGAGCCTGATACCTCCATTTCCAACCAAGCCCCCAGAGCTGTGAGAAAGCAACTTTTGCTGTTTGGGGTGCCCAGCCTGGGGCACTTTGTTGGTAGCCCCGAAAAGTGAAGCAAGCAACATGCAAACCACTCAGACTAGAAGCTTGCAAGCTAGAAGTAACAGGGAGAGTTGCCCATGGTTTTCTTCATTTTTTTTTCCTTAACATTGTCTACTTAGCCGAGAGGGATGCAGTCCCATGTACGTCTCTGATTAGGTTGGGGACGGTGGAGGTTTGGAGGAAGCTGAGTGGGACAGATGTTTCAAGTTTTTTTTTTTCCTGCGTCCCCTCGAAAGAAGAAGAGAGAGCCACTGCTTGCTGACAAACTGTATCAACACCTAGGGGTGGAGGATGGTCATTTGATGACACTTTAGAGACCCCACTTGAGTGGTTTTCATAGCTTTAACATGTCAGCTTTGTTACACCAGGACTGAAAAAAACCTTGCCAAGGTCTGTTGGCTGAGCAAGTCTACCACAGACCCAAAAACGTGCTGCAAAGCTTGGCCAGGAGAGTGGTCCAACCTGTTCTGCTTTCCATGTTCTGATGACATCCTCTGCCGGCCCCAGCAACTGAGGAGGCCCAGTCATGACACAAGTGCTCCAAAGTTGGACCACATATTGTGTGATATTCCCTGTGGTTGGGGTTTAAATCCAGCCATTTAGCTGGGAAGTCCAGCAAGATACCTCACCTGGGGTGACCTCAGGTTTGACTTTTGTATGTGCCAGACAGTGCAAGGTCAGGTTTGGTCTGTTACCTGCACCAGCCAGTGCACATACTGGGTGGATGCAGCTGCCTGATCAATTCTACCCTCAGCCCCAACTCTCACACAAAATAATGGGTGCTGCAGCCTGCCTAGGCCTGGTCTTCACACACACCAGTGGGTGCCACAACACAGTCAGGGAAACCCCCCAAAACCATTTGTTTAACTGAAAGTAGGAATTACAGAGAGAGAAAGACATAGAGATCTTCCATTCACTGGTCCACTCCCCAAATGGCCACATTGGCAGGCAGTTAGATTACAGAGGAACATCTAGCCCATGTGAGATGCTGACACCACGGGATGGTTAAACCCGATACACCATCATGTCAGCTCTCAGAACTGTTACTTATAATCACGAAGCGAAAGGAAAGTCACAGTGTCATTTGGAAATGCAGCTGAGGCACACCAAGCACCACTCTGCAGTTCTTGTGCTCATGCTGAAGTGTGTTGGTCGTGGGCAAGGTCGCTAAGCCAGCTTGGAATTGGCTCGACCTTTCTGTGAGGAGGCAGTAGGTTTTTATCATTTATAGGGGATGAAGGGATTGGCAATGCCTTGAGAAAATGTGGTATAAAGGGTTCAGCTACCACCAGCAGCATAGCTGATTGGTGTCGTGGCTATTCCACCTCTTAGCTCACTCCGTGCTAATGGCACGGGAAAGCTGCCTGCTGTCCAGATGAAGCTCCTGGCTCCTAACTTCAGATCAGCCTGGACTGGATGGCAGCCATGAAGGATGGAAGATGTTTGTCTCTCCTTCTCACTAACTCTGTCTTTCCAATAAATAAGTAAAGCTTTCAAAAAAAATTTCAGTTTCCCCAGCAATAGGCAACTACCTGCATTGCCTTGTACCTAGGTAAAGGTTACACTGCTGGGAGAAAAGCAGCAAGCAGCTGGTGGGCATTCTGGGCCTGGTTAATGCCAAGTTTGGGTTAACTATGCCAGTATGCCAGCATAGTTGCTGCTGCTGCTTTTCTGTCCCCTTTCATATTCTTTCTTTTTTTCTTTCTTTTTCTTTCTTTCTTTCTTTCTTTCTTTCTTTCTTTCTTTCTTTCTTTCTTTCTTTCTTTCCTTCTTTCTTTCTTTCTTTCTTTCTTTCTTTCTTTCTTTCTTTCTTTCTTTCTTTCTTTCTTTCTTTCTTTCTTTCTTTCTTTCTTTCTTTCTTTCTTTCTTTCTTTCTTTCTTTCTTTCTTTCTTTCTTTCTTTCTTTCTTTCTTTCTTTCTTTCTTTCTTTCTTTCTTTCTTTCTTTCTTTCTTTCTTTTCTTTCTTTCTTTCTTTCTTTCTTTCTTTCTTTCTTTCTTTCTTTCTTTCAAAAAAAAAGGAGGGGTGGGGAACTCTTGGCCTCCAGGTGGTGGTGAGGGGACTGCAGAATGCCCAGGGAAGGGGTCTGTGTTGGACTGGGGGCAGCTGAGGACATGTTTCACAGGGGAGGAAAGAGTTCTGGGGTCTTCCACAGACAGGGCCACTGCACTCACAAGTAGGTAAGGGGGCTCAGACACAGTGGTTTAAAGGGGGGAAACTGGAGGCCATGTCTAGGTCAGACCAAGGCACCCACACATGTGGGAGGCTGGACTTGGCTAAATAGCAGCACATATCACCTGCTGGTGCTACCAAAAGCTGGGGCTGGTTAGCGTACCTGGCTGGGCTAGGCACGGTATCCATCTGTGAATGTTGGAACAGAGGGTGAGCCACGTCAGGCTGGGCCACATTGCCCACCAGAACATGAGAGAATCAAATATGGGAACAGATTCTGTAGGGGAATTGTGGGCTCACCTCTGTGGGACTGCAGCACCCCTCCTGGCTCAGGCAGAGAACTGGGACTGGTGACTAGCTAAGCCAGGCTGGGCAATAGAACTCATCTGATAGGAATCCACCTGACACTAAGGGGGCTGGGGCTGGGAGAAAGCTAGGTGG